ATGAGCTTTGGGTTTGTCCTGCTCTTCTTTTTCTAGGAGCTTGAGGTTCAGCATCAGGTTGTTTAATTGGGATCGCCCTGTTTTCCTAATACGAGTATTCACTGCTATGAATTTCCCTCGTAAGACGGCTTTCATTGTGTCCCATAGATTCCAACATGTTGTATTGTCATTGTCATTTAATTGAAGGAACTGTCTCATTTCTTCTTTAATTTCCTCTGTGACCCATTGGTTATTCAGAACTGTGTGTTGTTCAATTTCTATGTGTTTATGAAATTCTTCCAGTTTCTTTTGCTATTGATCTCCACTTTCATTGCACTATGGTCTGATAGTATACAGGGAATAACTTCGATTCCTTTACACTTACTTAAACATGTTTGATGAGCAAGTATGTGGTCTATTTTGGAGAATGACCCGTGTGCAGCTGAAAAGAATGTGTATTCTGATTTTGTGGGGTGGAACACTCTTTTATCTGCTTTTACATGTATGTATTTTTAGCCTTTTTATTTTATGTATACAGTATTTTCACCTGAGGTGAAAAATAAGAACGAGAAAGCAGAAGCAATGAAGGAAGGGAAGGAAAAGGTAGTGGACTGAGAGAACAGATCTGTACTTAAAACCCTGGGTTTATAAACATTAAATCTGCAGCAATATTTAGCTCAAACACAAAAGTAACTACAGTATTACCTCAAATGTAGCTTCTCTCCCAACCTCTCAACTAAAAAAAAAAGGCCTATGACTTTGATCTCACAGAAAAGAAGGATGAGAGAGATAATAAACACATGTTCACAACCAATTGGTGTTGTCAGAAACAAACACACATCTCTGGACTTCCATATCTGTTCATTTCTATTATTCCCAAGAATACTGTTTAGGAAAGAGAAATAGAAAAGATGAGAGTGTAAAATATTAAGATATAAAAACTCAAAATACACACAATGGAGTGGTACTGTGCCTTAAAGAAAAGCTTGAGTCATCTGTAGGAAAATGGAGGCAACTTGACACCATACTGCTAAGTGAAATAGATCAGACACACAAGCTTATATGAGAGACGCAAATTATAAAGAAAGAGCCAAATAAAAGATAGTAAGAAATAAGGAGATAGCTCTTTCTCAAATGGAAAGGATATCCAAAATGTAAGGAGTGGGGAAGGTAGGGGGATGAAGAAAGGAACTAAGATGTTATTGTAGTCAGGGTTTGCAAGGGAATAGATTTAATACAGAGCACATAATTTAGAGGATTATTTTATAATATTCACCCAAAAAGTCAAATGCAGAGAAGTGCAAGAGATCTGTCTGCACACTTCAGACCTGAAGAATTCAGCTGAGGGGCTGGATCCCAGGGCAATGTCCTCTGCAAGTCCAACCAGAGGTCTAGAGTCCACAGTAATCTCATGCAAGTCCATACTGAAGATCTGCACCAGGAAGACCCAAAGGCCAGTGCTGAAAGCTGGAAAGTCTGTGTCTGCGGGGTGAAGGATCTGTGCCAGAAGGCTGAGGGATCCACAGCGGAGCCAGGAAACACACTCCCGGCAAAGAGAACAGCACCCATCCCTGTTGACAGTGAGGACCCAAGCTCCTCGGACATGAGAACAGCCAAGTTCGTGTCAGGAAAACCAGCCATAACAAAGCTTCTCCTGGGAAATCAGCAGTGTGCAATCTTCCTCTCCTGTTCTCCTTTTTTTTTTTTGTATTAAATTCTTTTATTGGTACATTGTAGGTATACAACACAATTACATTTCTCATTG